ATTTCCTTTTTTTTTTTTTTTGGTACTGGGGATTGAACTAGGGACCTTGCACTTGAAAGGTAGGTGGCAGCACCACTGAGCTAAATCCTTGGCCCCTAACTAGCATGATTTCTAAAATTGAGTGAGCCAAGAGTTTTTGAACTAAACAAATTGCAAAATAAATTTTAAGTGATTCTACATTTACATGTAATTGTTTTTGTTTTTGCGGGGGAGTTTTGAGACAGGGTCTCACTATATAGTTCAGACAGGCCTTGAACTCTGTGTGTAGCCCACGTAGCTTCAACCTCTCAGACATCCCCCTGCCTCAGCCTCCCAATGCTGGGATTACAGGCATGTGCCATCACACCCCATGGATCAACCCTCCTGCCACCACTTGGACTAACATTAGAAAGGACTCCAGTTCCTGGAGGGCATACCTGGAGCTTCTTGCTATCTCTCCTAATGTCCAGAATAGTGCCTGGCCCAGAGCTGAACCAATGAAGGGAGAGGTACAATAGTCCCAGACTTAGGCACGTACTTACCACGAGTTCTGGGTGACTTGGACCCTTTATGACCAGACAGCCCCTCTCCCTATTCTCTGTGTGGGAACACACTGACCAGGCTGCACTAGCCTCTTGGCTGATTCTCTAGCACACCAAGCACCTGCCTGCAGCGCTCTGCCCCACTTGGTCTGATGGCTCACTCCTGACTACTGCAGGGTCTGCTCCCAGACCACGCTGAACCAGCTGGGTTTTAACTCACCTGTTTGCACACGGCTCTTCTTCCTCTGAGAGAAAGAGAGAATGTGAGCTTGGCTAGGATGGAATGAATGTTAAAGAAACTCTAGACCCCCTTCCCTGATCTTTAAATTATTTTAAAATAAGACGCTGTTATTGGTGTGTGTGTGTGTGTGTGTGTGTGCGTGCACTATTTTAATACTGTTTTATTATATTTGTAACTACATTACATAACGTAGGACTTATTAATACTGCCGATCGATTTGTACATAAAAGTACCGCTGAGGGTGCCTGCAAACGGCGGTAGACAGCTAAAACAATTAAAAGGCACAGGCTGCATCTGTAAGACCCTTCCTTTAGGGGGTCCCTGCCACTGGAACCCTGACCTGCGAGGCCGGGCAGTCTCCCTCCGAAGCATCCTCGGTGAGAGGTGACCGCAGGCTGCGTGCGGGTGGCTCTCTGGTGACCGCCAGTCTGGAGCCGCGAGTGAGCCGCCAGACCTACGAGGGAAGGCAGCGCCGCGCCTGTGTGTGCCCTCGGCTGCAGGGGACCGGAGGTCAGCGCGGGCGGGTGCGGGTCCCGGAAGATCACTGGACAGACAGGTGCGAGTGCAGCTGTGGTGCGCTCGGAGAGCGAGTCAGGGGCCAAGCAGGAGGGGCAGCGGGAGGCCTGGACCGCCAGAGGGCGCAAGTGAGGCCCGAGCCCCACGTCGTTTACGGGTAGCACAGCAAGGTCCGACATTCACCAGGTGGCGTCCGGGCGCCAGAGCTGAGAGCGCTCGGTTTTCCGGGCTACGGCGTTGGGCGGAGTCAGAGCGCGAGGCCCCGCCCCTCCCATTTCCGCCTCTCCAGGGCCTC